GTTCTTCTGCTCTGCTGACTCAGGTTTGTTTTGTCCTACACTGACCTGAGGTTCACTGTTTTCTGAAAGGATAAGACAATAGAATAAAATGGAACTGCGATCATCGCGTACCGTTGATTTCTAGGTTTTGTTTATCTATCGCAAGTCCTTGTTCCTCTTCGTTTGAAGTTGGTTTATCTGTGCCCACCAGAGAACCATCTATCAAACACAGTTATTATTGGTATAAAACTTAGGATACGAGATTACCCGTGGTCCGTTTTCTATGCACTTTGATCACCTCTTCCACTTCATCTTCAAAACAAGTTTTATAAAATAGCACAGTTTGATAGCCTTCCTCCGGAGAATCGTTTAGGAATTTGGCCAGAGCGAGTTCGTTTCCATATTCATCTCGTTCTAGGAAATCGGTAAATATATCATCGTCCACAAGATTAAACGCCTTATATAGTACATGTTTTATCCATTCCACACGTGGATCATCCATTATCTGTAATCAAAGAAAACAGAACTGAAATTATTCCATTGAGTTTCTACTTCGGTTAGTGACTAATAGTTTTTTGTGTACAACGGTTGAAACAATCAGATTCAGATCCGATCAGGAAACATCCCGATCCAATTGTCAGTGAAATGTGATTTTGTTGCTCAAACCCATATAGTCGAGTTCTTGTGTTTAGCAGAATGAGGCAGAATCAAAAGGAGAGTTAAGAGAACCCTGCAAAGGAACTACGAGAGGATTTTGAATCAGGAGGAGTTTTTACGTCTGTAGATGTGCATATTCACCTAATAAGACAATTTTGTGAGTTATATGGAGTTCTTTTGCAAACAAGCTTTCTTTAATGGACTGGTGAATGATTATTTCAATGTATAACGGAAAGACAACAGGTTTTAAGACAGAACAGCCGAATTCTCGAAAGTGTCCCTGAATAAGAGACTCAGTTCAGCAACCTGTCGATGTCACTTCGTCTCTGTCTGCCTGTCTGTATGTCTATCTGTATGTATGTATGTCTATCAGTATGTATGTATGTATGTATGTATGTATGTATGTATGTATGTATGTATGTATGTATGTATGCATGTATGTATGTATGTATGTAATGGGATTTGAATCTACCAATACACATTTCATGCATCCCTTCCATTACCAGGTTCGACAGATAGCCGTTTTCGAGTCTTCTAACAAGAGACACTCTCTCAGACCTCGTTATGATTTCTGTTGTACTGTTTTTTGCTTAGTAATTAGTCTACACTCAGACGCGTCTGAAATATAGTGTATAATGTAATATATTATGGTTCCAGTGAGCAACGCAGGGCCAGTCATTTAGGTAGGAAATCCAGATCTGATACTCTTCGATTTAAACTAATATAACGCGAAAAGACAAGTATTCCAGAAAAACTCAGATGATCCAACACGCTGAGCCGCAATTTCGATTGCTGCTTTGAATTGAAAATATATAAAATCGTGATTACCTTAGGCAGGGACAACATGCTATCTATATGAATCTTTCCCCAGCAGAATGTCAGGTGAAAGACACCTAAGGGTGATGATTTCGGCACTGCCAAGGAAGATCTAAAGAATGAGAGAACGTTTCTTCCCGTCCTTGTCATTGTTCCTTTTATTCAACTGCAAAAGAAATTAAGCAACCGTTGATATTCTCGCTCTAGTTTGACCGACCCGAAGAAATAGCACAGCAATATATCTGAATCTGTGCACTCGATCCTTAACAGTATATGAACGGTAACCTTCAGAATACAAACCAAAGGATCTCTCTGTTGTCCACTGTTGCATTATAACTTAGGATATCAAACACATCACATCAAGTCACTCATCATCACAATTCAAACGTGCGTAAACAATATCGAAAAAGCATCAAATTAGCAAATAAGAAATAGCTTTAAGATGTCATGACTTGCTGGTTGTTGCTCACTTTAGATAACACTACAATTTTCCTTGCTCTACCGTTAATTTTTTTGTCCTTCGGAATATGACTCGGCAGTTGTCTTTCCCGGAAACTTTTCCCACCCATCCCAGGCACAGGCAGAAAATCATTCTTATTAAATTACAATCACTGGATACCGTAGTTCTCTAATTCAATCTTATTTTGTCCCCAAACTGCTAGTTTGTAGAACAATCTCCCCACACGAAAACGCTGCCTTTCCGTTTACTCATAATCTTCCACTTATTAAATCACAGCATCTTACCAGAATTCCCCTTATTCTCCCTTTTACAGTGTTCTTTTTACTTTGGGTTATCCTCTTCCACTGGAATCTGCACTGTGTAACTGGAAAAAAGCAAGTACATAATTTTAATCCAGGGCGGTAAATAGACGATTATACCTCTCAGTAGCTCGGGCCCACAAGTGACGCGACAATTAGATCCCGTAACTTCCTACACTGTACAATCAGTTGAGAAGAGAAGAGAGGGACCATTGTCTATTAAACGTTTAAACAAAGCGTAAAAGTACTTCATCAGTTGCTACGCCCAGTAACTTCAAAGGATGTAAAAATCCTATTGCTTTTGAACAATATTTTCGTGAGGCTCCACTTAGAATTCTGCTTAAGCGGGCTCTCCACAATCAAATAGAGACAATTTGGCCTTGGAAAGAGTGCAGTGCAGGTCAATGTGGAGCATAGAAGGAAAAGGCGTGTCGTCTTATGTTGGGGAACTTTGGAGATTAAATCCATTTTGATTGAAATAAAGATAGAAGAGAAGGAAACCAGGAACGGCTTTCAAGGAATTAAAGGCATTTTTTTATTCTTCCAAGGTTTTACCATAAAGAACCGCATCTATTGGTGAGTGTGATGTAAGACTTCCAATTCCGTCTTAGAAGTGTTCATCTGCTTTTCAAACTTTCCGACAATGATCGCAATTCCAATCCGGCTTTGAACCACATTATAATGGGTTAAGGAACACTTTTGTTAAAACATGTGGGATTGCCCATTCGTTGATTGGAGCCCTACAGCATTGACCTGAGCAACCTAGTAGCATTGCGCCCAAGTGAAAATCATGAAACATTTTTCTCTCCATGAAGATCATTGCATTGTGATTTCTTTGACAGAGCCTGGACACAGACGCGTATGAAATATATATATATATATATATATATATATATATATATATATATAATCAATAAGAAGTGGGGTATGAATGACTATATCTTTTTCCATTTAAGATGTCCGAACATCAATTTACGATTTCACAATATGAATTTGAGATGTCCCAAAATCAATTTAAGGTGTAATGTTGCTACGTGGACAGTACGATAGTGCGATTGTTCCGTCGTTTCATACTGTCTTATACATTTTGTGATGCTCTTGTTGTCACGTTCATCCGTGTGGTGAAGGCATGCCTGCTGTACAGTCGAAGTTCCCTGGGCCTATCTAAGACTCGCGGCTGTAAACAAGGTGTGGTTTCTCGCTCGGGTTAGCTGGGCAAGCACCAGCTCCCTTGTTACAGCTGAACTATCCGACCAATCGATAAATGAACCGGATCGACCGTGTGATCTTCGGACGGGTATAGGCGGCGGATAAGCACTGAATTCGATGCTGCTTAAGTGTTGGTAGAGAATCACCACAGGAGAATCAGTTGTGGAACGATGCGCCATGTGGGAAATTCGGAATGGAAAAAGTTTAAGTGATGACGACACGGACCAACATTTGACTCGTCAAAGATCAACTTATCTGTCTCCCTTGGATTTCTTTTTCTGGGCATATATGAAGCGAATAGTTTATTCCCGGAAATCAAAAACGATTGCGGAGCTGAACCGGAGTATCGCCGCACAGTGCGAAATTATTACAATTGCTACTATTCTGAAGGGGGAAGAAAACTAACTTCGCCGTATTCTGCTATGCAAGCAGCACGGTGAAAACATATTGAACAACTTTTATGCAATAAATATGCATTTTCCATAATATTTGCTCTTTCTTTCGGAATTATATCCCAGCCGTAGTTAGCAAGATCGTTCAACGTGAAAAAGCCAGTTAGTAAAACTCCAAGAAGGGTTTTGCGTTAGCCTATATTAGTGGATATTGTAGTCCGTACATAAGACAAGTTTTATTATCATAATTATCCGTTTAACGAACGGGCTTAGACAAATAGCACGTGGAACTTAGACGAGTCGAATGTTGGTCCGTGTCGTCATCACTTAAACTTTTTCCATTCCGAATTTCCCACATGGCGCATCGTTCCACAACTGATTCTCCTGTGGTGATTCTCTACCAACACTTAAGCAGCATCGAATTCAGTGCTTATCCGCCGCCTATACCCGTCCGAAGATCACACGGTCGATCCGGTTCATTTATCGATTGGTCGGATAGTTCAGCTGTAACAAGGGACCTGGTGCTTGCCCAGCTAACCCGAGCGAGAAACCACACCTTGTTTACAGCCGCGAGTCTTAGATAGGCCCAGGGAACTTCGACTGTACAGCAGGCGTGCCTTCACCACACGGATGAATGTGACAACAAGAGCATCACAAAATGTATAAGACAGTACGAAACGACGGAACAATCGCACTATCGTACTGTCCACGTAGCAACATTACACCTTAAATTGATTTTCGGATATCTTAAAGCACAGGAAGCACCTGACCGGTTCGTGGTTCTTGCTGCTCGTCAGGCATGCGTATCCGGTGGTATTTTTCAGTTGATTCATATACCTAAATATAGGAAGTGTATTCTGTCGCATTAACTTTGTTTGCAACTCCGTATGATTTCTGGATAGATAGCTCTTTGAGAGCCAGTCCGTTGAAGAATCAATACTATGGTTCGATTTTTAGTGACAAAAATGCACGTTCTTGGTAGAGGTTTATGATTGAACTGACAAAAGATTACCGGATACGCAAGCCTGACAAGCGGCTAGAACCGCGGAACCGGTCGTGTGCTTCCAGGGAAATTTTTCCTAGTCATTCACAAATTACTTATTATGAAATATTCTATAATGATGCTCACGTCACATGGGTTGCGGTTAGTAACATCTGACCCACCTGCAAAAAATCGAATCATTGAACTGATTCTTCAGTGGACTGGCTCTGAAAGAGCTGTCTTTCCAAAAATCACACGATTTTACAAACAAGTTTATTGTGACAAATACATATATATATATATATATGCAGTGGAGTAAAAATCTGGTTTTATGCGTGGCTCAAGCCGTCATTATTATGATCTCTCCTGGCCTAATCTGATCTCTGGTATAGAGTCATTTTTATCTGCATCAACAGTATGCCTTCCATGTAAGGCTCTTTTTCTCTCTCTCGGTTAGGATTTCACAGCAGGCCTTTGTAGTATAGTTCGTAAGAAACAGCATTACAGTTTTGTTCAATCACTTTGTGATTCATTTTCATTCTAGAATTTCCATTGGTGATTCATTCCGTAGGTCGATGATTATTCTCGAGAGATCTTGTCATGTCTATGGACAAAAGTTTTATCAGTGTCAACGAATAAACTTGAGTTCCAAATTTTCACTTTCGACATTTACAATCATTAACCGTGCAGTTTCGTGCGCCGCTTTTGTTTGCTGTCTTTTGGCTACTCGTTTGGGTAAAAGAGCGAGAAGAAGATTGGACTGTTGAGAGCAGTCAAAGAGAAGTCATAATTAATGTAGAATGTGTTTGCAAGATTATTGGATAGATGCACGAGTGCCACTGGTTGCAACACAGCCATACCACTCAATGTCTCTAACCATCGGTTACTACTGTTTTAGGGTCTCCATCCAGTTAGCCTAAAGCGATCTATATGAATTAGTTTCATCTTGAATGTTTTCATATCCTCATGCCAGGTCTTTGTTTGACTGTCCTTCCTCTTTTACAATCCATTGTCTGCCTCGGTAAAATCGTGTCGACGCAATCTATTCGGTGACATGCAAAGCACATGTCTCAACTAACGTAATCTATGGAGGTCAACCGTTTACTTCGATGGAACACCGCGATTTTCTAAAACTCTAAATCTAAACTCAGTATTGCTTGCCCGGTTGCCACACGAGACTCGTGAAATGCGGCGTAGATAGCGGAGTTCGAACACTGACCTCTTTTTATCCTGCTCCCAGAATGGGCAAGACTCTGCACCATCAAGCAAAACTGGCCTTTGTTGTTGTAAGAAATACTTATCATTTTCTTTATGGAACCAAATCGGAATTGAGTCTTGGTGAAATACGTATGTAATAACTGAGTGTGTTCATTGTTCTTCAGAGCTTGTACAATAGTAATTTTACAATTATTGTGAAGTTACCTAATACAACGAAATTAGCATTAGTATGAGTACTCACGAGATAATTTATTTGAATAAATATGCATGAGATTCATCCGCAAATTGACTGCTTCCGCATTCATTCCATAGAATTATATGTTTCCAGTCTTCAGAGTTGAGGGCAGAGGGCGGATTTTCTGTTTTCTCTCCAGAAAGGTCCGATCAGATGTGTTCGTCCTTGAGCTACTCACCCAAACGCCACCTGAAAGCAGCACTAGTCATCTCCGCTTCAGTCGCTGGAATTGAGT